TGACTTCGCTCTACAAAGAGAACTACAGGGGAGAAGTTTGGTGGCACCATTGCTTGTCAGCCCCTCCAGCTCTGGGAACATGCTGTCTTTGTCAGCTCATTGGTTTCTTCTACGTCACTTTTTCCTTCTAGGATTCATAACCAAGGTTCAAGTTCGCCGGATGCTTGTGCAAACTCAGTAGAAAACAACGGTCCAGTTTCACTGGGACTGGCTTGTAACGTTTACCTCCATGGTTACATACCAAATTGGCTGAGTATTATCATTATGCTGACTGCTGCACCTATGGGATGTGCTTTCAGCCCACCCGAGTGGGCAAGATATTCTTGTGGGTGGTGTGCATCCTGAAGGCAGAGGTTTTCTTTGCTGTGGCTCACCTCCTGCAGGATTTCTCTTTGCTCAAGTGATTGCAAGATGTTCCAGTGCTGTACACTGCTCTGTTTGCTCCTTTTGCCTGTCCAGCAAGTGTGCTGGCAGCAGAAATTGGTGTTTTGCTGCAATCTAGTGGTGTAGCACACGGAACAAGTTCATGGTAATGACTTCAGGCTGAAGATAGGCTCCCAAGCACCTTTTCCCAGGCTCTAAGGGGTAGAGCTTGACTTCTGTAGGAGCTGAGATACTCCTGTATGTGTGCTCTGTACTAACAATTCCTTCAGAAAATGAGAGAAAACAAAAGCAGTGTACATTATTCTTCATATTAAGCAATAGATAAAATGGATACTGCACAAGATACCTGATGCAGAAAGGTGTTTCAGGAAGTATAACCTTTAAAATTAAGCAATAGAGAAGATGGATGCTGCACAAGATACATGATGCAGAAAGCTGTTTCAGGAAGTATGACCTTTTAAATTTGCCACCTGGAGAGTTCTGGAAATCTTTAGATTTTATGATGGGCCAATGTCACTGACTTACTGCATAATGAGCAGCTGACTCATATTAGAAATCAAGGTGATATAAGCACAGGCAAGTTGGCTTAGTTTTTTCCAGCTGAGCAAGCTTTGAATCCTCTGGCAGTAAATAAGTAAATGAAGGCACTTAGTGCTCCTCAAGTCTGTAGAAATGCTTGCAGGGTGTGACAGGAGCATGATGGAGTTGTGCAAGGGAAAGGTAAAGAGTTTGGGGGTCTTCTGTTTGTTGGTTTTTTTTTTCCCATTCTCCACTTCCTCTCAACCCCTCCTTGGGACACTGAGGAGCTATAAGGGAATGACATAATTCAGTTTTCCCTTGAAAACACCTCCTTTGTTTTCATCTTTTTTGCACCTGCTCATGCAAAATAGGAGACTTGAGAGGGCAAGTGCTGGTGAGCACAGGGATATAATGCAAACCTGCCTGGCCCCAAAAGGTAACGTTTGCAGGAGAAATAGAAGGAAAATGATGGGCAAAGCTGCCTGGACTCTTGTATCTGCGACCATTGAATCTGTCTGGAAAGAGCAGTATCAGAGCAGGGCTTTGTTCACATGGAGCTGCTTAATATTTCATGGTAAGCTGGTGTTAGACGCAGGAGTCTCCAGGAATGGCTGGAGCTGAGAGGTCTTGCTGCCCCGGGGTGGGGCTGGGAGCACCCCTGGCCCCCCAAAGCAGGCGCCCCACAGCCACGCCACCCCCCCCCCAAGGTGGTTCTGCAGACCAGGTCTGGAGCTGTGAGCCTGGAGCTGCAAACTGTGCAGAGGAATTTGACCCAGATAAAGATGGGGGTATCAGAGGCAATTTTTAGGGCAACAACTGCTTTTGGATGCTGTTTTGTAAAAAATTCTCAGGGCAAGTTCAGCTGGTGTCCCTGCTGGTTCAGGAACAGAAATGTCAGTATTTCCTTGTGGACTTACCTGATGGTGCATCTCAGGATTTCAACCACCTCTCTTTTGCCGTGGCTGCAGTCTTGATTGTCACAAGTAGGCAAATAAAAGGGTTTTTTCTAGATCTAAAAGTTGAAGGAAACTTTTCCTGCAATGACGGCTGGAGCATGCCTGGCTGACACCAAGTAAATCTCTCTACGGGTTGCAGAGCACTCACCTAGCCAACTGCAATTCTTTTCCTTCACTTTTGTGCCAGTAATGTGCCCACAGAGAAGGCTTTACTCCCAGCACCAAGGAGCTCATCCTCTTTGGTGAGCGTTTGTAGGGAAATTAAATAGCTGTTCTCAGTTTGCTGCAAACCACCTGCAGATTTTCCCAGTCGGCTGAGACACGCAGGCGAGACTTACAACAGCGATACTATGACTGCGTGTTTTGAGGGTTGGGTTTTGTGCACGCTAAAAAAAAAAATCGCCTTTAAGCAAGAAAACACCGTTTTGCTGTAGCAGCAGATGGCAGCACCGGATAACGGATGGCGGGAGAGCTCCAGCCTGGCTGGTCAGTCCTGGGCACCGCCCCCCCCCCAACCGCAGCTTTACGGGTGGTTTGGTAGCCGTAAATTGGGGTTTTTTTGCATCCTTCTGCAGTTGCAGAGGTCTGGTATTGCTGGCAAGGGGATGTGAGGCCTTTGGAGTTGGATGCTCATGTGCTGAAGGATTTCCTCCTTTCCCTTTTAAATTGTTGGCTCCAAAGGAATAGAAGTCTGGTCTGCATTGCGTGCTTGTAGTGGCTTAGTGAACAACAGGATGAGTGTATTTAAATGCCAGTCGGGGTTTTAAATCCTCTGCACCAATAGTAAATAAAACTGCAGGTGCATTAATGGGGTAAGACACCTCTGCCAGTGCTCCTGTAGCTGCAGATGGGAAGGGCTTTGTGTCCTGTGCTCTCAACTAGGAAAGTGCAGACTGGCTGCAACAACACAATAATTTATGTCCTAGGGGCAAGCAAAGCCGCTGCTCCATTAAAACAAAGTGCCTGGGATGCTCATCCATCACTAGCTTTTCCTGAAAGACTCAAATGTCATAGCAGGGTGCCCATAAATCCATCTTTCCAAGTGTAAATGCTTTAAGGCTAATCAATACTTTTTACAGAGATTGGTTGGAGGAGAGGAGCTCATCTAATTTCTCCTCATTGCCCAGTCCCTGATTAACCATGTTAATTTGATTGCAGCGGATCTCCAGGGACAAAGGAAAGGAAGGGACCCTCTTTGAGCTCTTGAGTGAGCACAAATATCCCGAGTGGGTTTGGCACGGGATCAGAGCACACTACAGCCGTGTCGGGAGTCAGCTCCTCGCCTCCCCTGCCTGGGCTCTGCCCCGCGGGAGGGTCTGGCTCAATAACCACCGCACATATGTCCCTCTCTGTCGGTATGGGATGGCCTCCTAGTTCTAGCGCGCTCTTGCTGGGAAACACCAAGCACCTGGGCCTCAGCTTCGTGATAATTTTAACTATCACAAACATATCTTGCAAGTGCAAGGTATAATTTCTATCGCACATACATGCTTCATCTGAAGTTGCCAATGGTTTGCCACAAACTATTTCTCCTGGTGATTTTGATCCTTGCTGCACCAGCTTTGGCTATCCCTAGACACAGTTGCAGGCTAGGAGACGTGACTAAGTTTAATTTCCCCCATGTACACACGCTTGAACAGCCTTCAAGCATCAGAGCTCTGCTTGTCGTTTTTTCCAGTACATCTCGCAGAAGTAGCTACAAAGAAGAGTAAGCAAATTTTTGTTCATGGCACAAACAGATCAGCACTGTATGTTGTAAATCAGTATCATTGTGATGCAGGTAGGCAGCGTCCTCCAGACAGGAGTCTCTACAAAGCGACTTCCAAAAGCACGAAGGAATATTTCAGTTCCATCTCAGCAGGCTGTTTTGCAACCAACACCACTAAAAGGAGACGAGGGACAGACACTTGTGGGAACAAGAAGTGAATTTTGCAAGGTACTGAGCAGCTCGTGAAGTACACTGTGCCCTTGGATTCCTCTGGAGTTAACAGCAATCAGCAACTTGGAGAAGCACTCAACACTGTTTAGGAGGGAGCTCTTGAGTGACTTTACTCCTGCCCTAAATCTAGCTGAACAAAGGGATCCCTGCAGAAATGGCAAAGCCTGATGAAATCTAATGTTTCCAAAGGTGCTGAGCAGCTCCAGGGGAAGGGAGGTAAGCCTGTGCCTTAGTGACTTTAATATTAAAAGGCCCCAGCTTTACACACCTGCTTTCCTTCTACTTTGCTACTGATCCCTCTTTGCTCCGTGTATGGTTTGGCTTTTGCCCTTGCTTTCACCAGCACCCTGACAGTTGGGGATGGGTGGCTGGAGCTCTGTTCAGCACTGGCTTTTGCACTGTCTCAGCTATTCTTAATTGATTTATCTTCCTTCATTTATAATAGCTGGGCTGTTGCTGTCCTGCAGCACCTGCTCTCTGAATCCGGTTTTGTTACTGCACCTATTACTCAATAGTAAAATTGCAGTCTACAGCTGCTTTTCCAGATCTTGTGAGGGAGGTTTTCTCTGGTGGTCCAGTAGACCCTGCGGGACACACACCTGACTTCTGACACGTGAATTCTTCACTGACTTTCATGGGATAGCAACACATGTAAATGGAAACATGTCTTTTGGGATATTGAGCCAGGGACCTCAATACTTTTGTGATAAACCCCAAAGAGCTTTGCATATATGATGTGTGTCACCAAGTTCAATTTATACTGTCTAGAAGATATGCTAAATTAATAAGGATCAGAGTGCTGCTTCTAGGGAAAGTGTCTATGCTAGTTTAAGTTTCACAACCTCAGCAGAACGCTTGTAATAAAATGGATGGCGAGGGAAGGGGCAAATCTTGCTGTGAGTGTTTCCTAGATGAGGGAGGCTTTAATTAAACTGACATTTCTGATAAGCAAGTCACTGAAGGAGATGTCTGGGCTGTGATGTTAACAGAAGCCTCTGCTGGGTCACTCGGTGGGGGACAGTGCCCGATTGCAGATAGCCACCAGCTGCCGCCTTGCCCAGAGCCAAGCAGTGACACTTCTACTCCTCTTCAGCAGCACCCTGCGTGGCAAAGAGCCCCCCACGGGTGACCACTGATGGGTGTGGAGGGGGGGGGAGGGGGCATGAAAGGGGTTGCTCCTCCGCAGCTCCTCACCTGGGTGGCTCCCAGCACTCAGAAAAAGACTCGTCCTTTCCTGCCCAGCTTGAGACGGGCTTTAGAGCCCACGGAGACCCGCGTGGGTTGGAACCCCGATTCGGGCTTTTAGTGCCTGCGGGAAATTTTGGGGAGCTGCGCAGCCGGGAGGGCAGAGCCGGCGGCGCGCTAAGGGGCTGCAGCTGCTAATTAACAGCACCGCTAATGAATCCCTCCCCCTGCCACATACCCCGCCAGCCCCTGCCTTCCTCCCTGCCTCCTCCCGGGGCGCGCTCGCCCGGGAGCGCGCAGTGCGGCGCGGCCGCGCCCGGGAGCGCGCAGTGCGGCGCACCGAGCCCCGGCTGCGGCGAGCCCCGGCGCTCCCCGAGCAGGTAAGTGGGGTTCGGGGGGGGGGGGGGGAATTGGGGGGTTCCGGGCTGTGGGCGGCTCCCGGAGGGATGCTCGGGTCGGTCCAGCCGGGGCACGGCTGGGGCTGCGGGGTGGGGTGGGGGGGGGGAGGGGGTGTTGGCTCTGCATCATTATTGCGGGTTTGGGACCCCGCTGCCTGTGGGGTGTTTCTTTCCCCCTTTCCCCTCCCCCCAATTTTTCCATCCCCAGGCTGGAGCTGTATGTGGGGGGAGCCGAGTACCAGGCGCTTGGGCATGTGATGGGATTTTTGCTCTTACGTCATGACATCGTGTCTATGCGTGCGATAAAATCCTGATGTGTCAGTCCGGGGGGACGGGGTGCGGGAAGGGAAACGCAGCCCGGGTAGAGACCTTTGTGTGCCAGGGCATGTTTCAGCCCCTGAAAGCTCCTGGGGAGGAAGGCTCGCTCTGCGGGGTGGCTGCACCCTGCTGCTTCTCTCTCATGTTTGGGGGTGGATTTGTGTTCTCCCCCTGAAACACCCTGGGCTGGCAAAATATATCCGCCGGCCTCATCAGCGAGGCCTCTTTGAAAACACCTGGGTTGAGATGCTGCGTTGGACAGAGCTGGGCCTTGCAGGGGAGCAGCGGTTAGTGCCTGCCGTTATTTCGGTTCTGCATGCTCTGGCTGTGCCTGCAGAGCAGCTCTCGCTGCTATCGATCAGGCTTCTGGAGGTGGGGAAAGTGCTGAATCATTTGTGCTCCCGGCTGTACGGGCGGCTCAGCTGCTCCCTATCTCCGGCAGATGCTCAGAAATGGGCTGCAGAGACTGAAGGAAACTCTGCTACCTGTGCGTGGCCGTGTCTGAGGTGGGAGTCCTGTGGGCCTGGGAGAGGTACTGTTTGGCTTGAGCACAGTGCAGTATCTTCTTCTGTGGCCTTAGTTGCTCCTTGGAGGATAGGGCACAGGGAAGATGCATGCTTGCATCTTGGTGAGGCCCCTGGGTACGGCACTGTGGGGATGCAGGGGGGGCTACGGGGGGTTGAGGGAGGTTTTTGCTAGAAAATCCTGTCCCTTCGACAACTGGGAAAGGCTCCCGGCGCTTCCTGCTTGGATAGGTTTTTCTTTTTCCTTTTGAATGCTGTCTTTGAGATTCTTTTTCAAGGTCAGGTCCTTGGAATAACATGTGCGCTATGGAGCACTTCAGCAAGTCGGACGGGGATGTTTTCTGTCTGCTTTTTGAAAGAGAGGCAGTGTAAAGGGGCAGGGGAACATGCCTATTGCAGAAAAATTGGAATACTGAAATGCAGACCAGACGCCTGACTGTTTTAAGATGGATACTGTGGCGCTGTCAGTGTTTCCGGGGTGCTCCTATCAGATGCTGAGTACAAAAGCAAGAATCCAGTGACTTTTACTGAGATGCCGACTCCTTTATTGCTGACCGTGTTTCTGTAAAATATCTACCTTTTGGCAGACAGCTAAATTGATCGTCAGGATGACTGCTTTGTTTCCAGAAAACTTCTTTGCATGGCCTACCTTGAAAGATAACTGCTCAAATTCAGCATCACATTCTTTCTATTTAACAGCTTCAGGCTGGGCCCTTGCTGACTTTCCTTTTTTTTGTGTAGCTGTAATGCGAGTACAACATAAATAATGCATGGAGGGCTTCTCAGCTGACGGAGGATGGGCTCAAGTTGTTAAATTTGAAAATGGACTTTGTTTACAGGGGTTGAGACCTGGGGACTGGCTTTGTCTTGCTCGAACTAGAGCTGTATGATAGTGCCGGCTGTCGTAATAACAAAGCTCCAACATCATCTCCAGTGTCTCTCCAGGGTTACTGCAGGCCGCAGTGTTTCCCGAGTTGAGTTGCCTTGGCTGTGGTTAGGGATCTGATTTAAACTAAGTCAGTCAATCCAATCATCTCTTCTCCCAACTAATGATTAAATGGAAAATATCCCAAGCTTTCAAATGGTATTAATTCATAATGAATTATTTGCCTTGCTGTGATCTAATTGTCTTTATCTTCATGGGTCTTGTGTATAAAATCGATGCTGCTGCTGGCAAAGTGCCACCGCAAAGGCTTTCTGCAGTGCACGAGTATCAAAGATCATCAAATACCTTTAATAATAACAGCAAGAAATGAGGTCTTATCCTTCATATCTGTGCTCGTGTCTGCTGCCTGAAACCCTGCACGGAGGCTACTCGCAGGAGACCCCCGTGTGTAGGTCTTAGCATGGTTGTATCTCTCCTGCGAAGGAGGACACTGAGCTGCTGGGTGCAGCCCGCACGAGGTGAGCGGGGAAGGTGTTGAGATCATGTATGAGGGGTAATGCCTCGATATTGTGTATTGGGACTGAGTGGGAATAGAAATGAAAAGCTGCAAATACAGATCCAGGCAGCAGTTGGAGTTGTCTGAGATGGTGAGGAAAGGAAGAATGGACGTGGACAGGAGGCCAAGGGACCTTTGTTGCTCAGTCGAGGCTGATGGCAAAGGGTAAATAGATGGCTTTTAGGGTAGTTTAACTTTTCACTGAAATGATTTTTTCCTTCCAATGCTGTTTCAGGCCTGGGTGGGTGACCTAGCATCCTTGGGAGAAGGCTTGCTGGGTGAATTATTCATAGGTACCAAGTACCTTGCCAGACTTGAATCCTTTATCCATTCCTGTCATCTCTTTAACCCCACTCAGCAGAAATGTGGTAGTTATGGGGTGTCTCAAACAAAATACTGCCTGGAAAAATGTCAGTGTTTCTAGAAATGGAGCCTACCTGGGCAGGGCGAAGGCTTGTGCAGGTTACTCAGAGCTTCAGAGTGTGTTGGCTCCACCTTGTTCTTGGTGTGCTCTGGTAAAGAGGAGCCCACGAGTGAAAGGTTTGCAGTTGAGATTGTTTAAGAAATCTAGAGAAATTAAACAGCCAAATTCCCAAGACACTTCTGCGGTTCTGATGTTATCCGTGAGCCTTTGGCAGGAGTTGCTGAATTTCTTCCTTCTCTGTACAGAAGTAGCATATGTGTGTTGACTTCTGTGGGGTTTTAATTTAGTTGTCTGTGCAGCACCAGGCTCTCAAATCTCATCAGCACTTAACCTTATATGTAGATGAACCTGAATGGTAAGGCAGAGCTCCTTCATGTGTGTAGTTACAGGAGTTCAGGGAGATGTGAAATCCTCTCATTTCCGCACTGTTGTGAAGCTCTGCTTGTTTAGGTGAAATAAGAATACAGGTGAATTGTGAGGAGTTAAGTCCATTACATAGATGTTTACATTGAATATCTGAGTTACAGAAAATCAGTTTTTACTTGAATTTGAACAAAAGCAAAACCTGGGAGGAGACTTTTAAAAATCCATGAAAGAAACCTAAACTCTGGTACTTCCCCTTTGAATCTTTATTGTTCCTTGGGTTTAGTTTTCCCTTACCAAAATATTCCCTTGTATCTTAAAACTGAGCAGGCAGCTCAAGCCAAGGAGTGTGTTCACTTGCAGTTTTTGAAAGGCTTTAGCAAATCTTGTCAGAGAGGTCTAGCCTGCCTCCCTGCCCTGTGGGTAACTTCTTTCAAAAATAGTTTTCTTTATTTTAAATGTTGCTGGATGACTTCTGCTCTGTCTTTTTTTTTTTTTTTTTTTTTTTTTTTCTCCTCCTGCTGAAGCAGGTCATACTTTCATTCTTTTACCTTTGCCGTCCAGGATAATTGTTGTGTAATTTTAGATATCCAGATCAGAAAGAATTTGCTTGACATTGTTGTTATGCTAAATAATCCCCTCTTTTTTTTTTTTTTTAATCCAGATCTGAAAGAAACCGTGCTGTGTTATTATGGATTAAAATAGAGGAGGATTTAGACTTCAGCCCTGCTTATAGGGATCACCATTCCTAGTTAATGAGATAGGAGGAGAGGGAAGGATTAACAACTGAACAAATAGTAATGGTTTTGCATGGCTAAACCAGGTAGAAGTTCCCAAGGATGCTATGCAGGGACAAGTCTTTGCCTTGCCTCTTTAGCTCCCCTCGGTTCAGAGCCCTTTGGATCTCATCCCATCCTCTTTCCACTGGTGATAACTGGGTCCTGTCATCCTCACTGTAGGAATGCAGCTTAGAGAGAACAGCCCAAGGGCACAGGAGAGCAAAGCATCGTGCCCTGGCTGCAGGGAGAGCTGGACAAAAGACAGGGTGCAGGCTTTGGGAACAGGGAATGGAGATTTTCCTTCAAACAGAAGCATCTGGAAATCTTTTGCTGACACCACCCTGCCTTTGCTACTCAAGCCTAAACTGAGGACTGTTCCCTTCTGAGGCTTCCAGAGGAGCATCAGCACTGCAAAGAGCGTGTTTGATACAGTCAAGGTTCATTCTAGCATGGTACTGAGCACCTTCCAGTCCCAGTGACTCCAGTGGAACCTGAGAGGGTTTGACAACTTCATACATGAAGGTTGTGCTGTCCGGGGTGGACCCACCTCCTGCCAGGCCCTGCTCCAGTGGGCACTGCTCTTCCTTATCACAGGCAACAAATAATCTCGTGTTCGAAGCATGAGGTAGGCATAGCTGATAAATACCTAGCACGGGCTGTCCTAGATGCTGCTTTCCCACCTTTGGAAGCAAACACCAATCCTTAAAGATGGCTAGTTAAAGGTAGCATAACCCAGAGGCTTGGTACAAAGTGAACCTGGCGGTTCCTTTGAATTCCTGGCAGGATTTCTACTGCTTTATGCCTCCTTGACAATATTTTGCTATCTTCCAGCATGGGGACTGGTGGGTTCCTGCACACCTGATAAGTCACAGCAAGTATGATACTGTCTTGCTGTCAGCCTGCACAATATATTCCTCCTGAAATGCCCTGGCACAGATGGGCAGGGCTGGCAATTGCCGTGTGAGCTGTGAAGTGGATAAGACTCTCCTTGAATCTGCAGGAAATGTTTACTTTTCCTAGTTATCCCCTTAACCTTAAAAAGCTCCAAGTCAAAAGAAAATGCAATGCCTTTAGAACTGAGACCACCCAAGGCACTGACCTGTTGCTCGTGTTTTTCATTTAAGTAGTTGCT